GCTGTCCCCTGTTTAGAGTCTTCCTTCCTTCACCTTTGGCCTCAGAGTCAGGGAGGGGCCCTGGATGAATGGCTGGACCAGAAAGCAGCTGGTGCCTCCAGGGGTCACCTGGCTCCATCTCTTGGGTGGCTCAGTCCCCTGAAGAGGTTGGGTGTGGGTGCTGCGTCTGCATCTTCCCAGAGCACTCACCAGCTTCCTCTTAAGATCTTTTGGGCAGTGGGAGGTACAGCTGGCCAGATGGCAGGCTCCAGTAAAGGCCACGGTCAGCTGGCAGCAGCTGCTCACATACCCTCCCGACCCCAGTCCTCCTGACCGACAAGGAGGTGGGGCAGCTGCCACCAGATGAGGCACTGGATGAGGCTGTGCCGGAGTACCGGGCCCCGGGGAGGAAGAGTCTCCTGGAGATCCAGCAGCTGGACCCAGACGACGAGAGCCTGGTCAAGTACAAGCAGGCGCTGCTGGGGCCTGTGCCGCCTGTTGTGGGTATGCACACACCCAGGGCCTGGAAGGGGACAGGTGGGGACAGGTGCCCCTGTAGACTTCTGGTTTCTCTTCAGACCCCAGCCTGCCCAACGTCCAGGTGACCAGGCTTACACTGATGTCTGAGCAGGCTCCAGGGCCCATCATCATGGACCTAACAGGTAATTTCCAGGATGCCTGGTACACCGTGAGCCCCAGGCAGGGACCTCATGGGTAACCCCCTTCTGCAAAGTACAAACTGATTTTGGGGGTAGAGACTTGGGCTTATCACTTTGGACCGCTTAGGACCCCCGTGCTCAATCCCAAGTTCCCAGACTGTAGCCCTCACAGGTATAGCACTCCGTGGGGGTTCCTGGGGTAAGGTCTCAGCCATCACAGGAGTTCATACTTAGCTGCACTTTCCCTAACAGGGGAGTTGGCTGCGCTGAAAAACCAGGTGTTTGTCCTGAAGGAGGGTGTTGATTACAAAGTGAAGATTACCTTCAAGGTGAGGGAGCTGTTGTGGGGAACACCAGCCAGCCACAGGCCTAGCCCCCAGAGGCTCCCCTTAACACCCTCTGTCCCTCAGGTCAACAAGGAGATTGTCAGTGGCCTCAAGTGTCTGCATCACACCTACCGCCGGGGCCTGCGCGGTGAGGGGGGTGTAGGGGGGCAGCCTGGGGGGACTTGGGGGTGGGGACCAGTGGGGCAGAGGGCAGCCCCTAACACCCTCTCCCTCTCTCAGTGGACAAAGCTGTCTACATGGTGGGCAGTTACGGCCCGAGCGCCCAGGAGTATGAGTTCGTGACTCCGGTGGAGGAGGCACCCCGGGGCGCCCTGGTGCGGGGCACCTACGTGGTCACGTCCTTCATCACCGATGACGACAGGACCCCTCACCTGTCCTGGGAATGGGGCCTCCACATCCGGCAGGACTGGGAGAACTGAGTGCCCCCTGCCTGGGTGCTGACTTCCCATTTGGAGTCCTGGCTTCCCCCGCCTCTGTCAGTTGCTGCAAGGGACCCCTGAGCATTCCCCAGCCCCCTGTGACCAGCCCCACCAAGCCCTCTGTCCTATCCCGGGATGCCCCCTCCCCAGGCTTGGCACTGTGCCCTAAACAGTCCTATTAAATGTCGCTCTGTCTCAGTGCCCTCGGTGTCGCCTGTCTGCCTCCCCTCCCCCAGGTGGGGGGAACCTCCTGCCTTATCTTCCCTGCGACCAGTCCTATGTGCCACGTGGCAGCAGCTGCTTGGCCCCCAGTCCCCTTATCTGCCCCCACCTGCGGGCCCCGGCACTGCCATGGACGGTCAGCTTCTGCCGGTGCTGCTGTTGCTGCTTGGGGCCTCAAGCCTGTGGGGCCAGGAACCAGGGCCTGGGGGTCCCTTGGAGGAGCCCCTGGAGGAGGAGGTCCTCGAGGAGGATGGGATCTTGGTGCTGAGCCAGCGGACCCTAGGCCTGGCCTTGCAGGAGCACCCTGCCCTGCTGGTGGAGTTCTGTGAGTGCTCAGGGCCAGTGGGGCTAGGGGACCCACAGGGGCCACCCTGGGGGGGTCCTGCCCCCCATAGTGGCCACAGAGGCTCCAGTGCCACTATGTCCTTGGGGCTTCATTGGAGGGTACCAGGGCAGAGCCCTGGGGGTCCAATCCACACACTGTGGGGGGCATAGGTACAGGGGAGACCTACGGTCATACTTCTGCCAACTCTTCCTGTAAAGGGCCAGCTAGCACTCAGGCTTGCCTGTTCTTCTGGGTTTTTATAAATTTTTCACTCGGGAGAGCCATTCCTAGCTGGTGGGCCTCAACAGGCAGCCACTTACAGCTGGGAAGCCGGCCACAGAGGGCAGCCGCTGGCGGATTCTTCCTAACCTCACTCTCTGGACAGTACTAGCTGCTACATCCTGAGCTGAGAGCTGTGAAGAGCTGGTCTTGGTGCTTGGGCTCAGGGTGGCTGAGGCTTGGATGGGCCCCTGGTAAAGGTGGTATGGATAGGACATGCTTGCTCCCTGCTGGACCTGACCCCCGGGTCTGCCAGCTCTGGCCTGGTGGACAGCTGGGGTTAGGGAGGCCAGGGGCATTCACAGTCCTGTCCCCCAGATGCCCCGTGGTGTGGGCACTGCAAGGCACTGGCCCCTGAGTACAGCAAGGCGGCTGCTCTGCTGGCAGCGGAGTCAGCCAAGGCCCGGCTGGCCAAGGTGGATGTGCCTGCAGAGCCGGAGCTGGCCGAGGAGTTTGCTGTGACAGAGTACCCCACGCTCAAGTTCTTCCGAGATGGGAACCGAACGCACCCAGAGGAATACACTGGTGCGGGGAGCAGGTGTGGGGAGATGGGGCGGGTTGGGCGGGTGGGCAGGGCTGGGCCCCAGCTGAAGGGAATCTCTGCAGGTCCCCTGGAGGCAGAGGGTATCGCTGAGTGGCTGAGGCGGCGGGTGGGCTCCAGTGCCACTCAGCTGGAGGATGAGGAGGGTGCCCGGGTGCTGATCGATGCCAGGGACGTGGTGGTGGTGGGCTTCTTCCAGGTGAGCTGGGGGCATGGGAGCCAAGCCTGGGAGCAGGGCCTGGAATGTCTGCTGGCCTCACAGGCTCTGGCCCCTTAGGACCTGAAGGACAAAGATGTGGCTGTCTTCCTGGCCCTGGCCCAGGATGCCCTGGACATGACCTTTGGCCTCACTGACCGGCCACAGCTCTTTCAGAAGTTTGGCCTCACCAAGGACACTGTGGTCCTCTTCAAGAAGGTGGGTTGGGCCTGGAGTCAGGGCCAGGGCGGGGATCGGGGTCAGAGCCATGGCTACTGCTGACCCACTTGGTGTTGTCCAGTTTGACGAGGGGCGGGCAGACTTCCCAGTGGACAAGGAGCTGGGCCTGGACCAGGGGGAGCTGTCCCGCTTCCTCCTTACTCACAGTATGCATCTGGTTACGGAGTTCAACAGCCAGGTGAGTCAGGCTGGAGGTGCTGGTGCGAGGAGGGGGGCCAGGGCAGTGGGAAGGTGCCCGTGGGAGCCGCCCCACGAGCTCCACCTGCCCTGCAGACGTCCCCTAAGATCTTTGCGGCCAAGATCCTTAACCACCTGCTGCTGTTCGTCAACCAGACGCTGGCTCCCCACCGGGAGCTGCTGGCAGGCTTCCAGGAGGCTGCTCCCCCCTTCCGAGGGCAGGTACTGGCTGGGCCCTGGGGGCGGGATGGTGGGGAGATGGGGCGCCCACTCGGCCTCCCTGTTGGCAGGTGCTGTTTGTGGTGGTGGACGTGGGTGCTGACAACGACCACGTGCTGCAATACTTTGGCCTCAAGGCTGAGGAGGCCCCCACCCTGCGCTTCATCAACATAGAGACCACCAAGAAGTATGCGCTTGTGGACCGAGGTCCAGTCACTGCAACCTCAGTTGCGGCCTTCTGTCATGCAGTCCTGGGCGGGGAGGTCAAGGTCTGCTGCTGGGCTGCCCACCAGCGGGTGGGGGTGGGAGCAGCAGTTCTTGAGAGAGACCCCTCAGTGAAGCACCTGGCCCGGTTCCCCAGCCCTATCACTTGAGCCAAGAGGTGCCCCCTGACTGGGACCAACGGCCAGTCAAGACTCTCGTGGGCAAGAATTTCGAGCAGGTGGCCTTTGATGAAACCAAGAACGTGTTTGTCAAGTTCTGTGAGTGTGAAGGGCAGTGGGCAGGGGAGATGGTGGGGCACCCTGCAGGCTGTGCTGATGCCCCCTGCCCTAGATGCCCCATGGTGTGCCCACTGCAAGGAGATGGCCCCGACCTGGGAGGCCCTGGCCGAGAAGTACAAGGACCACGAGGACATCATCATCGCCGAGCTGGACGCAACGGCCAATGAACTGGAGGCCTTCCCTGTGCAAGGCTTCCCCACCCTCAAGTACTTCCCAGCAGGGCCCGGTCGGAAGGTGAGGCGGGTGAGGTGGGACCCTGCTGTTCTTGGTCTGGGGCTCCATCCGGGTCCTTCAGGTAGTGGCTGGAGACAGGGCATGGCCTTGGTGGGGTGGGTAGGGCCTGGGTGGGATGTGACCTTGGGCTTTGAGGCCTGGGAGAGTGTGTTCTCCAGACCCTTCTGTTCCTCCTCAGGTGATTGAATACAAAAGCACGAGGGACCTGGAGACCTTCTCCAAGTTTCTGGACAATGGGGGCGAGCTGCCTGCAGAGGAGCCCAAGGAAGTGCCTGCTGCCCCCTTCCCGGTGGGTGTCTTTCCCAAGGCTCTAGGCCTCTGGATAAGCCAAGTCCTCCAGACGGGTGGCTGTGGGCTGACTAGGGCAGGTCTGGGCTGAGGGTGCAGCTCCAGCTGGGGCTCTATGACCCTTTCCAGGAGACACCAGAAAATTCTACCTTGGAGCCCAAGGACGAGCTATAGCTGCTGCTACTGTCAGTGTTCCCTGGGCACTGTGTTCTCTGGTGCCCGCAGAAGCTATGGGCTGTGAATAAAGAGCTCTGGTCTTGGACTATGTGTGGTTCCTGAGCAAGGCTGACTCCTTACCCTTGGTTTTGACCAAGTCTCAGCCTCCTGGGGCCTTTATGTCTTGGATGGCGTCCAGTCCTTTCCCCCAGCCCTCCTCCTGGGGCCCCTCTGGGCTGGAATGGGGAGCGTGGCTGGCTTCGGCACCGCCCTCTCCAGAGCTCTGCCAGCACTGGTCCACAAGACCCCACCCCCACCCCTCTGAGGCTGGCATGCCCTCCTTCGGTGCCCAGGAAGGCTACAGGAGACAGGGCACGCGTGCCAGGAGCCCACCAAGGGCCATGCCCGCCAGCCAGACCCCACCCACGTTAGGTGCATTCCACAGTCGGAGAAGGTTCAAAAATGGTTTTATTTCATTATTATCCAAGTACCTTTGAAAAGATAATTGTACAAGTCAGCGCATGAAAAACGGGCTCAGGGCAGCCCCCCAACTGGCCTGGGCCTGAGAACTGTACATATTTACAGGGGCCCTTAGGAAGGAGGGGCCCGGGACCCGCTGAGCCAGTGCTCATAAACCGAGGGCAGAGGAGGGAAGGCCTCGTTGCTCCGTTGCCGGGTCCGCACAGTGGCAGGCAAGAGACAAGCTGTGTTGAAGGCACTCGGTGACACGTACAATTGGCAGAGGCCTCGCAGGCCCTGCACCCCAGCTCGGGGACAGGCCTGACCAGGGCAGGCCATGGCAGGCGGCTAGTCTCAGAGGGAGGAGCAGAGCCTGTGGAGTGAGCGCCGGGGGCTGCCCGCAGTTAGCAGCAGGGGCCGCTGGGGAGGGTCTCGAGGCGGCCCCAAGGCGGGCTCCCTGCTAGGGCGGACTCTCTGAGTATTCCTATGGAGGAGTGGACAGAAGCCTTTGGGACCCTCAGGGACCTCCACCCACCTGGAAACAGATGGAGCCAAGGGGCGGGCAGCTGTGGGGTAGGTGGCACCTGGCCTCCCACCAAGACCCCGTGTCTTCTACACACTCAAGAGCACGTGACGCCGCATGACCTTGCTCTCGGTGCAGCTGCCCCTGCCCCTGGCCCATGAGGGCCCAGCCAGCGCAGAGGCCAGGCGTGCTGGTCAGTCCACCTTCTCCACCTTTCCGATGATCTTCTCCTCGAAGACAGGCAGGACAGCCTCGTCTTCCCGCACTTCCTCAAACACCACACCACAGTCAAATTCATCACTCACTTTCTTGAAGTAGTATCTGCGGGGCAGGGAGGGGTGGTGAGGGTCACCCTGCCATGCCCTTGGGGCCTCACCACCCTCTATGAGCACAGCAGTGTGGCTCCAGACCCTTCCTGCAGGGCACATGAGCTGGTTCTGCCCGGTGCCTGTATGCCAGAGGGTTGGCAGGGGACAAGCATGGTGACCACATGGGGACCCCACCCTGGCTTCTGGGTGCCGTGGGGGAGGAGTGGGTGGGCACAGGGTTCCTGTCATCCTCACTGGGTTAACGCCCCGACTCAAGCCCAGGCAGTGGCCACTGCAGCCCAGGCCCTCCTCCAGTGGCCATGCCCTCCAATGGGCCCTCCACGTAGGCCCACCACGGACTGACCCCAGTTGAGACGCTATCTGCGCTCTGCTCCTACTACAGTGCCCGCTCAGGAGCCTCTAAGGGCTGGTCTCAGGCCAGCAGGGCCAGGTGGCCCAGGGCAAACCCTGGGGGAGAAGAGCCCGTGCTTCTGCAGTCCAGGAAAACTGGGCTGAATGAGGCGGCTGACACGAAGCTGATTCAGGTCACTGCAGCATGGGGACCGACAGACCCTCAAGACCCCTTAGTTGATTGGCCTAGAGGCATCAGTCAGGCACCTGGGCCGGGAGTTGGGACTGGAACCCTAAGGCTACCCATGCCTCACCCATTGCAGGGCTCACGCTAACGCCATGGCTGGACCAGAGGGTGAGGTGGAGGAGGACTAAGAGATGAGAGACCCCACAGGCCCCACCCCAGCCTCTCACCTGTAGTTGCCTTTCTTTGTCAGCAGCTCCTTGAACTGGCCCAGGGTAACCGCACGGCCCCTCACCAGGGTCCGGTAGGGGATGGGCTCCCCACAGAAGTAGTAGGCCACGACAATACTGTCGCACGGCTGCATGCTCCCACCACCCGCCTTCCTCTGCGATTTCGTCCTGGGGGCAGAGAAGCTGCAGTGATTGCTGGGCCTGGGGTCCCACAGGCACCCCACCGTGGACCCTGGCTCCCCAGTAAACAACAGGCAAGGCCTGCAGGGGTGAGCTAGGCCATACTCAGGAACGCCACACATCCACAGGCCCCAATGCCCACCCCACCCACACAGCCACATCCAGCCCCTGTGGGCTCACCCCACGCCGTGCTTCCACCCAGGTTTCCAATCCTGTACCAGCCCACGCGCCCTGCTGCATGAACAGCAGCTCGTTGCCTGCCTGCCTCATGTCTGACCAGTGCCTAGGCCTGCCCACTGCCCTCTTCCACCCACTGCAAAGCCCTGGTTTCCCTGTGGCCTGAGCTGGCCGGTGGGCAGCACCCCAACTCAGACCACACAAAACTCAGGGAGCAGGCCCCTCAGAGCTGGAACCTGGCGTAGATGCCTCTGGGGGCTCTATGAGGTGGCCAGGCAGCGGGGACCACTGCAGCCCTGCCTCCAGGCTGGTCTATACTGCTTGTGTCCCAGGGAGGTCTACGGCCCTAAACCTTCAAGAACACCTGAAGGCCGGAGGCTAGACAAACACCACTGTGACGGGTCTTGAAATGGACTTGCCCCACAGCAGAGAGCTTGATCCCAAGACTTCAGCGAGGGACATGAGGCCAGCAGCACCTTCTGCCCAGGCAGGGGTGGGACCTTCATCCCAAGGGGTGCTGAGGCAGCACCCTTCTCCTCCAGTGTCCCCTGTCCTGTGACCACCCCAGAGCTGCCCAGTGTGCTCGTGCATAGCCCTTGGCCCAGTCAGCTGGGTATGCCAGCATCACATCAGGAAGGCTGCCTGAGCTCACAGCGGGCTCTACTCTCCTAGGAGACCCTCCCCTTCCTGGTGCTCCTGGGCACACCCCAGGCGGACACCTCAGCCGTGTGGCCATCCACTGTTCGAGCCAGGTGCCCAGGCACCTGTTTCCTTCTCTCAGTCATGTGGCCTCAAATTCAGCCTGTCCTGGGAGCCCCCCAGGGGTTCCTGTGAGGGTGCATGCTCTACAGAGGGGTCTCCTGCATCTTCTGAGGCCACACCTGGGGAATGACCTTTGGGGAGGCCCTGAGCTGCTCAGCACACTGGGCTGGACACAATGAAGTACTGTCTGGGGTCAGCCCGGTGAAGGCTGAGGTGGGGGACCCCTCCTCCTGCTCTGTCTTGAGCAGACGTGTGGGGGTTGGGTGGTCGGCAGTGTCTACACATGGCCCACAGGTGCCTGGGGTGTGGACACGCAGACCCCCACACTCCATGTGAGAACAGAGCCAGCTCACTGCACATACAGTGCCCAGTGCTGATGCTTTTGGTTGGCGGTGGGCCAGGGGAATCCCGGTTGCAGCCCGACCCCAACAAGCCAGGAGGTCGCTGACCAGCGAGTTCCAAGGCTGGGTGGGGGACTTGTAGCCAGAATGCAGGAGGCGAGCAGACCTCCTGTCTGGCCTGTTGGTCACTTGTCACCATGTGGATGGTCAGCAGCTCCTCTGACAGATATACAGCTTGCAGCCCCAGCTCTTCAGGTGCGGTGTCCAGGCTCCCATCCTGGCAACAGCTGCGCCACCGCAGGGCCTGGCCCATGGCGTGGGCCGGGTGGATGGCACCAGGAGGACCCACAGGGGGAGCGCACGTACTCTGTCTCGGAGAGCTCCAGGTCCGACACCGCTGGCACCACGCTCAGCACGGGCGTGCACACTGGCCTGACGCAGGAGCGCCCCCGCTGGATGACCTCCTGCACATACCTAGGGAACAACGGCGTCTGTGAGCTGCATGGGCCTGCGGTGGGGCCTCCAGTGGCCAGCAGGCGGAGCGGGGGCTCCTGGAGCGGTCTGTCACCACAAACAAGGCTCCCACTGCGTGAGGCAGACAGGACACCAAACCCCTTCCTGGGCTGTGGAATAGGGTTGGAGGATCAAGGGCTCCATCAGGATCAGTCGAGAGACCAACGCCGCTTCCGTCCGTCCAGAGTTCCCAGATTCCTCCTACGGGCAGACCCCCGGGTTCCCGGAAACACACTCTGGGATCCTGTCACTTCGTCCGCACTCACAGGAGCCTCCGCCTTCTGGAGAGGAGCTGCCTCTGGCCTCCTCCCTGTGGTGTGGCTCTTCCTGCTCCATCTGCCACAGACTCGGGTTCCGGACGCAGGCATCGCCCTGTCCCAAGGAGCTGGGAGGCCTGTCCTGGGGCTCGCTGCCCAGCAGCATCTCTCCCAGCAGTGTCTACCCCTGGGTGCGACGCTGTGCGGCCCTGACAATGACTTCCACTCTGACCGGCCTGGGTGGGGGCGCCCCACGAGGAGGGCCCAGCGACCTTTGCTCTGTGGTCTGCAGCCGTCTATAAAAGTACCACGCACCCTGGACCCCTGGAGTGGCTGAATAGGCGTCAGTAGCCAGAGAGCGGATGTGCTGCTGGGCAGGCCTGCTGGGCGCTGGCGGGAACAGCAGATGATGCCAGGCAAGGATGGTGGGCAGGAAGCCCCTGCAGGGGGTCTGTGCAGTAAGGAGGAGGTCTGCACGCCTCAACCACGTCTGCCTCCAAGTCATGGGCCTGTCAGATGGGCGCGGCAACTCCAGCACCAGGTGAGGCCTCCTACACAGAGCCAGCTTCCCCAGTTCTACACTAACTAGACAAGGTCACGGGCTATGAGACAAGTGGCCATACATATGGTCACCTTCAATGACCCAGGGGACACATGCAGACTTCTGGCTGGGCCCGAGATAGATGCTGGGGACAGTCTGCACACTGACTCTGGCCTCCCCAGAGCGGGACGGCCCTTCACACAGTGAGGCCAGACCCCAGATGCCCAGGTCTGCTGAAGACTGGGCGAGGGGAGCCAGTAACGTCCGAGGAAAACACTGGCCACAGTTTTATGACCACATTTCTCTGATTTTCAGGTCCTTCACAGAGATCCTGATCTGCCTGGGAATCCTGATGGGCCATGCCTGGGAAAGTGACCTTAAGGCCCAGCTAAGGGGTCCAGCTTGGACAGATCACCTGCCCCCACGAAGGCAAGGTCTCCCCACTCCACTGGGGTAGAATAGGGCTTGGCCTGAGGCTACAGTGGTAGCCAGTTGGGCCATCCTAGCCCTCAAGGCCAAGGAGGGCTGAGGGACTGGGGTTTCTCCAGGAGAAGAGCTGACACCACACACATTTCAGTACTTTCTGCCTGCCTGCACATGACACATTTAGGGAGGCAGCCAGGAAGCCCCAGAACTGCCCCCTCTGAGCTCAGCCTGCACAGCAGCTAATGGTGATCTGACTGTGACTTCCAGCGGTTCCAATATCAACATCAGGCGAGCACATGCGCACAGGGCAGCCACGATGCAGGAAGGACTCCCCCTCCTTCCCGAGGACAGTGACAACCACCTGCCCTCCAGCCACTGGCCACACACACAGCAGAGCAGGGGGACCTCAGGTCTTGGGGAACTTCACCCCCAGGAGTGGTACCACAGCACAGAGAGGCCCTGACAGGAGGCCCCCTGCTCTCCCTGAGGCCCCCATACCTCTGTTTTGAGGGCAACTTGCTGGCTCTCTTCTCTTCCTCCTCCAGACGCCTGCGGGCCTCCTCCAGCTGCGTCAGAGGGTTCGGGGCCGGGTTGGGTGGCATTGTGGGGTCTTGAATGAAGAGATGGGAGGGCTGGACCGAGTTCCGGAGCTGAGCGCTGACCCAGGGATGCACGGCCCCGGGACGCTCGATGGACAGGGGCCTGGAGCTCTCATGGGCCTGCTGCTTCTTTGCCCCGGACGACCTTTAGGGGCAAGAGAAGAAGGTGAGGAAGGCCTCAGGCCCACTACATTCCTCTCACACTGCGGGTGCACACAGTCCTCTCTAGAAACTTGTTTGGAGTCTTATTTTTTGTTTGTTTTGGGTTTTTTTGGGGGGGGTTATTTATTTATTTATAATTTACTTTTAAGTTCAATGGATTGAACCCAGGACCTTGTGCATGCTAAGCAGGGGCTCTACCACTGAGCTATACCTACACTTATTTTTTAGAGCTTTATTGAAATGTTTTGTTTTGTTAGGGCAAGGAGGTAATTAGGTTTATTTATTTTAATGGTGGACCTGGAGATTGAACCCAGGACCTTGGGCATGCTATTCATATCCTATATGAATTTTTTTTCCTCCTTCTTCATGAAGACTTTTTCTAAAAAAATTCTTAGTGTTTTAAAAAATTATTTTAGTATTAAATACTTTTTGAGAAAAACTTGAAACATACAGGAAATTCAAAGAACAAAGTAAGTACAATTTAGAAATAGCTACTGTCAGTATATTTAGTATATTTCCTTCCCCATTAGAAATACTTGACACAACTGGCATAACTCTAAACATATGATTTTTCCTGATTTCCCCTCAACGTGGTACCATGCCTTCTCTTTTGTTACTAACACTGAAAACATGTTTTACATCTGTGTGACGTGCTGTCACTCAACCACTGAATGGAACTCGAGTGAAAACATAAGCCTCTCTCAGCTAAGACTTGAGGCCTCAGAAAGAGGGGCTAAGCATCAGGACAGAAATGAGGGAATTCCAAGAAGAGGCCCCAGGGGAGTGGGCTGACCCAGTGTCCTTGTGATGTCAGAAATGTCGAAGGGAATGTATCTCAGGGAGAGGTAGAGTCCTCCTGTAAAGTCCTATAGGGCTGGCCACAGGGAGGCCCCACCCCATCCCCCACCCCTCACTCCCTGCGCCCACAAGGCATGAGGCGAGCCTGGGGGAGATCCTGGAGCACTGGCACTTAACACAGCCCCTAGCCCATCCTGATGGCAGGAGCCAAGGTCTCCCAAGCCTAGGAGACCATTTCCAGACTCTTACTCTATCCATAGAAACTCTCCATTTGGGATCGGGGGAGTAGCCAAGGACAGAGCCATTCCTCATGAAAATCGCAAAAGAGAGAAATCTGGAGAAGCCAAGAATCCACCCTCACTCCAACCAGAGCAGGAGAGGGGCTCCCAGAGAGGCTGCCCCCAAGACAGGCTCGGTGACTGCAGAGGGTCTGGACCCGAGCAGGGACTTGTTCCAAGGTCATGTGGAGACAAGACTCAGAATGGGTAGGCAGGTAATCACCTGCCTCTCACACACCACTCAAACCTCCCCACTCGTGGCCAGGTGAGGGTCTGGGAGGTCTGCCTGAGGAAGGAGGGATGACCCTTCCACAGACATGCAGACCTCACCAGCCCCAGGCCCCTGCTCAGCCCTGTCCCCACCACAATGGGTTAATGGGATGACATCGAGACTGATAACACAGAGCAGAGGGACAGAGATTGATGAGAACTGCTCCTCGGTCAGCTGGGGGACGAGATCAGACCCGGAAGGCCTCTCCTGTGGGCTCTGCCTCAGCTCTTTCTCACGGGAGGGCAGCCACATAACAGCAGGTCCCTCTGTGGCAGGTGAGCGGCAGTGACTTTAGGCTGATCTTACCAGTGGGTGCTCCTGCCTGGGACACTGAAGCTCATCAGTAACCCCCAACCCCATCACAGGACCCACAGCATTGACCTTACGCTGCCACAGACTGGACCTGATTCCACAGAACTCTTGTTTCCGTGGCATGGGGTCTGCAGTAAGACCAGCTGCTCAGAGCAGCTCTAGAGGCTGGCGTGTCAGCTCCACACACTGGTGCCCATGCCCAGGTCAGGGGCCTGAGTCCTGCTGCCTCTCACCCGTGGCCGGCCTTCCGGTGCCGGCTGATCTCCTTCTCGCCCTCGATGATCCACTGCATGATCTTCTGGTTCTTCTCCGCATCTTCCGAGGGGCCTGGTGCCTCCACGTTGGTGTTCTTCCCTGACTCGGCCTTCTTAGCATTTCTTTTAGAGGTTGTGGCCACCTTTCCACTGTAAGAGCAAGACCCAGGATACCTGTTGACTCCAGCTGACATGCAGCTGCACAGCTGACCCCTGACCCGTATGGCTCAGGGAGGACAGCCTGGGAGGGACCCCACCTCGAACTTGGAAGCCTTGACAAATTGACGCATTCTCATGGCCTCTGCCCCAGCTCTGCAGGGCTGACAGGGTGTTTCGGGCTAACTCTATGGCAGGGAGGGAAGGCAGGAGTCCAGCATGGGCTGGGAGGGCTGGAGCCAAGGGCCAGGCTGTAGCACGGTCCTTTGCCCTCCTGGCCCAGGCCACCCGCCCAGTGCTGGCATCCAGGGCCCGGTCCCTCCTCCTCACCCAGACACCTCTCTTTGAAACAGGCGCATCTGATCTAACCACACTTCAGGGCTGGAGCCTCAGTGGCCAGCACACCCAGGTACACATGCCTGCAGTCTCTGTGGTGACTTCGGTTTAATGACCTTTAAAGGTCACTAAACAGAGTCCACAGAAGACACGGTCTCTCGCTTTGAACCCCTCCTCCTGGGAGACAGGCGCAGCTCTTACTGACACAGACATAGGATGAAGGAACCGCAGTCCCATCGGTCTCGGAGTGCAGGCTGCTGCAAACACTCACCTGTAGGCCAGATTGTCGCTGGCGTTGGGGGTGGAGCCCAGGTTCTCCAGGTGGCCGCGGGGCTTGGCCACATGGCCGTGTAGCTCTGGACCCCACGGGAAGCTGCTCTGGACCCGGCGGGAGGCCTCAGCCTCAGCTGGCTCCTTGGGCCTGGCTGCACTGTGGTGGCTATGGTGGTGGCCGTGTCTGTGGAGGTGCAGGCCAGCTGAGTCCAGCTTTGCCCCCAACTTGGGCCCGTGCTTCCCATGCCCGGGCCCTGCGGCCCCCAGCACTCCTGCCATCTTGGGCATATGTGCACTGTCTGGCGAGCGGTGGCCAGGCCCTGGTGACTGGCAGCCGGGCGTCCTCATGACTCGCTGCACATGCTCATCCAGGATGCTCTCGGGGTTCTCCTCGTGTGCGTCCCGCAGCCCCACGCAGCCCACGTCCGCATAGCGGGGCGGGAAGTGGTGCCAGGCCGCAGCTGAAGGCAATTTATGACTGGCCCCTGGGGGACCAGAGGACATGTCGCCATCCTCGCCTTCCTCCTCCTGTGGGGACAAGGCCATCCATCACCTCTCAGCACTGGCTGCACCACAGACACCCCGTGCTTGAGGAGGCAAACAATAGACAAAGAAGCCTGGTTGCGCTGTCCTGAGGGCCAGAAGCCCAGAGCCCAGGATGAGGCAGGGCCCGACAAGGGGCTGGAGGGGCCGCCCAAACGAGCCGGCTCCTAGAGCCTCTTCTGTCCCTGTGGAGTCCCAGGCGGCACTGCTGGGCCCTGGCCAGGCAGCACAGACAGACGAGGACACAGGATGTGAGAGGCACAGGCACAGACCTCCAGGAAGCCTGGCACTGGTTCCCTTTCCTTCTATGTCTCAATGACAATTCCGTGTTTTTTCAGTTGAGCTTTCCTATTCATCGATCTTCTATTTTCAATTATATTTTCAAAACGAACGTTGCCCTTGTACAGAAGAGCTCTCGGTGTTTGCTTACCTTGCTATATATGTCTTAATAAATTCTCACGTCAAACTAGTTGAATTCCTTTTGACACTCTAAGAGTTTCCATAACCCTATGTGTAAATATAAACATTTGATCACTTCTAATTCCAAAAAATACATCTCACATTAATTTTCTTGTCTTCTTGAGTTCTCCAAACTAGAATGTTGAGTAACGTGGTCATAACTGAGAACAGCGGGCAACCAAGCTATCCTGCACTTTAACATCAATAAATCTCCAAAGTGACCACAGAATTTCTCACTGTTGCACAAGCACCTAAATGTCATGTGGACAAGCAGGCAGCTGTGGGAGCTGCACCTCAGGGTGGAAAATGGCACCAAAAAGGACAGAGGGGGAGGAAAGGATGGACGGAAGGGACACTCACCCTGTGGGCACTGCTCAGAGCTGCCCCGCAGAGACTCAGGCCCCTAGGTTCCCACATCCCATCCTGTGTCCCCACCCTGACCCTTGTGCTTTTGGGATGAGGGGCTGGGGACTCTGGGAGACTTTATGCCAAGTCTTCCCAGGAGCACCAGAGTGTTGATGCTATTTATCCCTAAGGCAGCAGTAAGCAAGAGGGAACCTCCAAATTCCTGGGGATCTATTTTCTTAATAGCTCTGCATGTGAAGAAATTTCATTTTAGGGTTTTAAAATGTCATAGATTTATGTAACTGTTCAGCTACTAGTTTTCATTTTCTCTTGTCTTTATTTTCCCAATTTTACAATGAAAGTAAGTCATTAAAAAATCCGTAGTTATTCAAAAAAACAGTAATTAAAAAATCTGCAGCTATTTCTCTTCAGAATGGACTATCACTTATAATGTATAGCATGACTCATACAGCTTATGAAATCACACCTAGTAACAGACTTGAGACTGCACTGCCAGGTGCTTGGCGTACTGCCACACCCTGGGGACCGAGGGACGCCCATGGGAGCAGACCAGCTGGGGCAGCCGTGGGCCTGAGGCCAGGCTCTCATGATCAGAGGCCACTGCATGTGGCAGCCCACCTGAGCATGAGGCCCTGTGCCCGCCGATGAGTTCCTGAATCGACACTAGAGAAACATAAGGGCTATTCGTGTGAAGACTTTCTGTTAAGTCAGAGAACACGGTTGGGTCCAGCCCCTCTCCTGAGAGCTTGTGGGCTCCAGGCACAGCTGCAGTGCACCTGCCGGGGATGCCACGGAGAGAAAGAGTCTAAGACTCAGACGTCAGAAGAGCACACACAACACCTACAGTCTTAGCCGCTGTAAAACATCCCACCCACAACGCTGACCCGCCAGGACCGTAAGTACACACAGCCCCTGAGCCAAGACTAAACGCTTGATGGAATGATTCCAATAGCTCAATTCTGTAGTGAAAAGGTGGTGAATTCTCACTTTCTTAAACTTCTTTTACAAAAGGGTGCACACGCTATTTCATAAGAGTTGTTAACAGCGATGTGCTCAGGGCAACCTTGCTCAGAGAGGCAGTGTCTGTGGAAACGCTACTGGACAAGTAAAGATCGGCCTCATCACACATGACCTGGGACTGAGCTCCCGCCAAGGCTCCCTGTATTTCATGGAAACTGTTTTGATCTGCTTTTTCAGAGAAGGCCATTAGGATGGTAAACTATGCTTCTAACTCAGTAGGCCTCCGATGGCCCCAGATAAGAGCTCCTCGGCAAGCACACAGCCAGCGCCCGCAGCCACTCCTTCCCCCAAATAGTGAGACGAAGTCAGTGGAACCCAATGTGGTGGGTTTCTGTCGGGTGACCTCGGGGAGATCACTGAATCACGGGGACAGGGGAGAGGACAGCTGGACAGCTCAGGCGAAGCCCTCAAGCTGCACCTTCTCTGTCCACATGAGGGTCATTTGGTGGCCATGAGGGAGGGAGAGAGAGGGGACATATGTGCACACGAGCACGTGACACTTTCATGCAGGTTACTTCCCAGCACGCACTGCCGCCAGGCTGCAACCTCACTTTCAGGTCTGTATGACCACACCTACCTATCTCATATCTGCTATGAATCCCACGTCTGACACGCTATTTGAAATCTGCCGGTTGTCTCCAAGTAGGGGGAAGAAGAGGGGAACCAGGCCCCTTGTTTCAGGGCTCAGAGTGACATCCAGGAGATGTGGAGCCCAGGACAGCTGCTGTGGGGCGCAGGCAGCAGGAAAGGAGACCACCAGGTGTGACCACCCACTATGCTCCACGCCCACCCTATGGCAGGGCCTCAGACTTCAGGTGCCCCCGGCCCACCTAAGGGACACGTAATTTGGAACAGCAGGGTCCTCTCAAGGGTGCTGACAGGGTCTGAGTGGGGCTCAGGTTCTGTATTTTAAACAGGAACATCAGATGATCAGGTGGAGAAATAATTCCTTCAAAATACATCACATTTTTGAGTTTCAGTTGTAGGACAAACCTATCGAGAAGAGAATGGATCCCTGATCTAAAGAAAAATCAAAGGCCTGTGTGCCAGTGACACCAAGGCCCACGGAGTCCAGGAAGGACCGGGCACTGCAAGGGACATTTGTCACCAGCAACTCAGACAGAGTCCCCAACGTGTGAAGCACATCTTATAAGATGACACCCAGGGCAACAAAAGCAAGAATCTTCTGGCAATTATGGGCAAAAAAGTATTAAAGCACATAAATTACAAATATTATGAAACTTCTTAGCATCCAATGTTTCACTGAACAGAGCCTGTGCCCAGACTGAAAAGCCATCCTGCCCTCAGAGGTGACAAGCGGGAGCCTCTGGTCCTTCCTGACACATGCACACTCCACTTAGCTACCACCACCCAGAACTGGCAGTGCATGTGAGGGGCATCTCAGCTCCACATGCTAAGGGGGCACATGGGACACTGCCGGACGAGCTTGGCGGAGGGAATGCCGGTACACAGTGAGCCAGGAGTACAGGCCAGGCCTGGGCCTGGGGGCGGGCATCACAGGAGAGCAGGCCCTGACTAGCCCCTGAGAGGGGGTCAGAGGTGTCAGGAGTCAGTGTGCAATCCAGCGGGGTAGGTGGTGCTCAGGAGACCTGAAGGGAGCATCTTAGGGTCCAAGGGGCCCTAAACTTAACCAAGTGTAATGACCCAACTCAGAGACCTGGCCTGGCCTCCCGCCGAGACCCACTCACCATCCGCACACGCTTTAGCCTCTCCTCCAGCTTCTCCTCGGCCTCCCGCGTCCGCTGGATGGCCTCTAGGCGGTGGATGAGCTCCGCAGCGAACTTGTGGGGCTCCACACGGACTTCCTTTGGCATTCGGTAAGTGCGCTGCAAGGGACACGGTTGGTCAGCCCACGCAGTGTGGACCTGCGCCCCAGCCAAGGCAGCCCCACCCTGGCCCCGCTGTGGATGAGCAGAGAACATGTGGCATCTGAATTTTACTCAGAGCGAGTGTTTACTTTTCCCCTTCCACCTGGGAATCAGCTTCCTCCCTGCCTCCTTTCTTGTCAGTACACTGTCCCTTCACTCAGCACTGACCCAGCAGTGGGAACACAGTGGACACCACGGGTCCAGACAGGAGCTCAGTCTCTGAGGCACAGGCCACAAGGCAGCGTCCAGCAGGCCACTCTCGTGCCCTGAGCCCAGATGTGTCCTAGACTCAGGGCCTCCAGACTGTCCTGGAGAAGCACTTCTCATGTGATTGGCCAGGCCAGGACCCAGGGAGGTCCAGGGCCTGAGGCAGAGGTGTCTGGGCAGGGAGAGCAACGAAGACCACTGAGGAGGAGGACAAGCCCTCTGGCCTGAAGGACTGGCCGCTTCCTGCAGAGCCTGTCCTACACACAAGGGGGCAGCAGCCCTGACATGCAGGTGTATGCTGACCAGGCTCTGGAAGAGGGACACGAAATTCAGGCACACGCAAAGTCAGAGGAGAGGTGGGACTATAGAGGGCTCTCTTTTTCAGAGAATGGTAATTCTACAATGTATTGTATGGCAAAACTTTTGTAACTTTTCTTGGGGGATATAGCTTTGTTTGAAATAATTTCAAATTAAAAACAGGAGGAGCACAAAGGACTCCTATGCAAATTTCGCCTAGACCCCACCTGCCATCATTGGCAACACTGTCAGTTCTCCCGCAGTACACTCACTGTACTGCTCCTGAGCCAGCAGACAACATGTTGCACACACGATGCCTGTTAACACCTGAACACTGAGTATCTTTAACAAAGACCAAGAACATTCTCGTACCTAACCATAGGACAATCTTGTTACAGTACTGTTATCAGAAACCTTATTTCAATTTCATCAGCTATCCTAATAATGTTCTTTAGAGCAAAATGTGTTCAAAAAACCTAAGCCACCAAGGACTAAGTGAAGGGGGATGGGAGCAGCAGGGGTGCTGCCATGAGGAGGACGCTGGGCTAGGGAGGGGAGGCCCAAGAGAGGGTGGGTCTAGAAGGGCCTGGGGACAGGATGGCACGCAGGACGTCTCAGACCTCTGGGGGGCGACTGGCTATCAGGAACCCTGGCCTTCAGACATAAAGACCAGGTGGGAAGGCACAGGATGCGGGTGGAAACCCTCCCGTCAGTGGGCTCTGGATGTGGTCCTGACTCTGCACACCCACTTCTCATCTACAAAACAGGAGTAAGAAGAGTCCCTGATTCCTCAGAAACGTGTAGGTTTAGGTAAGAACGTTACCTGAGGGGCTCAGAGACAAATGTGTGGGGCTGATGCTGATCATGACGGACTCAGAGGTGGCCACAGAAATCTGAGAGGGGCCTGGAGAGGGAAGAGGCTGAGCGCGAGCAGAGGCCAACACTTGAGAGGTGGAAAAAGTTGGTGCAGAAGGCCAGGCAGGGAGTTGTCCTAGAGCCAAGGAGGCCAGACCTAAGGAGGGGCAGTGAGGGTGTCCGGTGCTTCTAGATGGTCCTGGAGGACTGGGCAATGGGATGGCCAAGAGGTCAAGACCCTGGAAGGAGTCTTCATGGGCCAGGCGTCTCGACAGACAGCAGAGGACCTGAGGCCAGCCCTGTCCCACCAAGCTGGCCAGCCGGAGAGGCCTGGAGGCCAAGAGAGCTGAAGCAGAGAGCAACGGGGCTGAGCTGACAGCAGGGTGTCCAGATGGCGAGAGCTCATGGTTCTGACCAAGGAAGAGCAGAAGGGAGAGCTCTCGAGGAGGCCAGGCCACATTGTGAGAGGGCACGCAGGACGGCTCGACCCTGCAGCCGGACACACACCCGCTGAGTGAGTTCGTTCTGGAAAACAGCCTCTAGGCTGCACAGATGCGATTCCAAAAACAGGAAAGCGGTCAGAAGTTACAATAATTATCATATTTATGGAAGAATGGTAACCTTTCCAGCTTTGAAGAAATAAAAAAAAAACACGCAAAGGAAAAAAATTCAAGTAAATAAAAACGTGAAACTTCTGAAGAATTAAAAAGGCCAAAAAGGAAAAGAAGAGGATCCTCTCTCACCTTTAATGATTTCAGGACTGGATATTTTGTGACTGGAGGCCACTGGCTCCACATGCTGGCACCTCTGTCACCTGTACCCATTCCCCCCACCGGCCCCCAAAACCCCTGGAGTCTCCCAGAGAGGACTGCAGAATGCAGCAGACCGCCCGAGAAATGGCATTTCCCAAAAAATGATCTGCAATAGTAGAGGAGCCCACACAGCTGGTCTGCTCACCTGTGCCCCGGCTCACTGGACCTGCCTCTACTACCTGGTGTCAGGTCTGATAAAGAAATGTGTAGGGCTCCTGGGGCACAAGCCACAGAAGACACGACCCTGGTGAGCAGAGAAGGGAAGCGGCGTTCTCATCCTGTAAGTTGGAGGAGTCCACCTGAGCCATGACGGACGAAGGGTGGAGTCTCTTCACCTTGAACTTCACACTGCACCTTCTGCCCCAACTACATGGCCAGGCTGAGCATGAGCCACCACATCTAGTGCTCCCAAACGATGGCATCGGGGCAGAGCTCCTCCCTGTGACTTGCCCTCTCCGAGTTCCTGCAGCCGCCCGCAGCACTGGGGCTCCAAAAGAAGCCCCCAGGCTACAAGTCAGCTGGCGATGCATTTCTCCTCATGCTCACCATCCACTCAGCATGTCCGTTTCCTTGAGCCTGTGCTCAAAGCATGGGGCTGGGAGACACAGATCCTCCGAGGGATGCAGGACCCCCACCCAGGTTGGGTTCGGTCTAAGTGCCCACACACAGACCCTGAGCCACCTGGCCGGAAGCCTGCAGGGCCTCTCTGCACTCCGCCTCCCTGCTGAGTTAGCCCTGACCATCCAGAACCTGTGGGGGAGGCTTTTCTCACTTCTGGAAGCTTCTCCCAGTGACACCTTTGGCTCTGGTCCCTCCCTTATTCTCTCTGCGCCGTGTTCTGAGAAGACTCTCCCCGGCTCTGTTCCAGCTCATCAATTTTCTTTTTAGGTTTCATCTAATACTGTTTAATTTTTCAAATAAAAAAGTCCTTATTCTGAAAAAAATTTCAAACTTGTAGACAAGCTGCAAGACCAACACAAAGAACGTTGTTTCTGAATCTTTGACAGGAAGCTGCCTGGGGTCCTGCCCCCTGGACTCGCTGGTGGGTTTCCTACAAAGAGGACATCCTGACACAAGCACGTCCAGACCCTGGGTGTCCCCCTCAGCCGGGCTGGTGCTCAGGACTCCTCCATCTGGAACGAGCCTTAGTGTTTCCTTGACTTTCAAGACCCCTGACCTTTGAAAATAAGAGGCCAGTTCTTGGGCAAAACAATTCAGGCTGTGTCCTTGCAGATGCAGCACCGGTCTGTCCTGTCACTGACTCAGGAGGGCCTGGCAGGTCCTCCCGCAAACTCACTTTTTTCCACTGGGAGTAAATACTTTGTGAGAGGCAATCGGGGATGATGGAGACACCCTGCTCTCACCAAACTCTCAACTCCTTTGCTACGTCAGCGTTGGCCCATAGGTGCCACTCTCTAGCACTCACTCCAATGCTCCAGCCATCTGGGTCTCAGCCAGCAGGGGCCCCTCGAGCAGCTCCCGTGTCCCCTCATGCCCTTACTTTCAGGCACCTCTTCTGCACCCCCTGCCCAGCCCTGGTCCCCTGAGCAGAGCAGAGAAGATGCATGTGGCCACAAGCCAGGCTTGGGTTCTCCCCAGGGGGCCACCTGCAGGCAAGCAGGCACATGCCTGTGCTCACACATATGTGCACACACACACGTAAACACACACTACTCACAGTGTCTTCCAGCCTTCCCTAAGCAGACACCATCAGTGCCTGGTTCAAGCACATTAGTGCCAAGGGCTGTATGGGAGGTGACAAAATGCTCTTCTCGGAAGTAAGAACGAACCAACATCCACTCCTCTTAACCATGAATAATCACTTTTCTTATTTGGAAATCAAAGTATCTGTAGACAACCTACCATATATACACTACTATATATGAAATAAATAATAACGAGGTCTTACTGGATAGCACAGGGAACTGTATTCAATACCTTATAATAATCTATAAAAACAAAAATATGAAAAAAAATATATGTATAACTGACTCACTTTGCTGTACACCAGAAACCAACACAACATTGTCAATCAACTATACTTCAAACATAAAAAAAAAAAAATCTGTAGAGAATCGAAAAGACTAAGGAATCTTGATGCGGGGTGGGTGTGTACAACGACCCTGAGGGAACACCCACTCTCCCTGCACAGAAACCACCAGGGAGACATGAGTCCCCTTGGGCGCGGCAGGTACCGGCAGAGCTAGACCTATGTAAGCTTTCCTCATCTTCCCTCCAGGTCTTCCCCGCTGAGAGTCAACATGTCCAAATGAGGCAGCTCATCATTCCCTCTGTCAGCAAAGGGGCTCCTTACTGGCCCCGCCCTGAGCTGGGCTCTGTGAAGCCCCCCTCCGCCCCAGCCCATAATCAGGAGAACTGCTGTCATCTCACTATTTTTATCCAGGAGGTGAAGCGGAGACAGCTCTGTAGGAGGCCGAAGCCTGGTTTCATTCTGCACAAAGCAGTGCTCGGAGACTCAGGAGCAAGGCTCCGAGAGGCACTGCCAGGCTTTCCAACAGAGCCACCAGCCGACACAGTTTGGCCAGGCCTGGGCATCAAGCTGGCAGCAGAGGCTCAGAGCCACTCTCCCACCTCAGGGAGAAGCACCTCACTTCACGCAACGGGAAGGACTGCGTGGAGGGCAGTCCCAGCCTTTCTAACCAACTGCGCGGGCGCAGGCCCATCTGCCGCAGGGCATGAAGGCCTGGACCACACGCCATGCCTGCACCTGAGCCGAGCTCACGGGAAGCCAGGCCAGTGCCACGGGCGGCCCAGTAACAGTGCACAGAATGGGTGGGCAGGGGCCCGAGAGGCAGGTGAGCCCCAGCTTGGAGGCAGGTAGAGTGAAGGCTGTGGCGGCAGAACTTACAGGAATGTGAGGTAGAGGCACCCGCCCGTTGACCTGGACGCTCTCCTGCATCTCCCGGCGGTGCTGCTTGCGGATCCTGTACGGTGGGATTCCATCCCTGTCGGGAAGAAAGAGTCCAGTGTGAGCACAAGTAGAACGGCTCAGCAAAGCTCAGCTGAGCTCTGTATCATCTCAGAGCAGGGCTGGTGCAGCTGACTTTTCTGAGGCCTGACAGCTAAGAACAACTTTCATATTTCTAAAGTGGAGGAAGAACATGTGAGAGAGATGGTATAGGGTCCTTTACAAAAAACACCTGCTGCCCCCTGTTTTGTTGCGTAGGCAGGATATGGTGTGCCTACCCAGAAAGAGTGCTCTAAATGGGCTGGAAACATTTGACGGCTGTAAAATGGGTGGTCAAGACAATCTTGATGACGTTGGGAAAGATTTCCAAGGTTCCTATACTCTGCTTTCTTCCAGGGTAAATTGGTAAAGCAGTGTAATCTCTCTGAGGGATGCTCAAATTAGTTTTCTTGATGTAAGTTTTAGTTATAAATCCTTTTGAAGATTATGATAAACATATAAATCAAATTCTGTACTGTCTTTAACATCACTAAAGCACTCATTCATGAGACAGGCCAGATCTAACGGGTGACGCACTGTAAATACGCCATCCCTAAAAGCTCTGCAGCACTCTCCCGCTATTTAAAGCTACTCTGGGGAGCAGAACAGTCAACAGGAGCCTTCTCTGGATCCGTGCTTTCATGTCCCTGAAGGATCCTGCAGTAAGCTGCCTCCTTCAAGAGCTGGAAAAGATGGCTCTTCCAATCCTCTGCTCCAAAGACCCCAACCTCCCAGTTTTCTGGTGGGTGCAGTGAACATTTGTGCCAGTGATTCCTCGTGACCCCTCACCTTCTTCTCGAGCACTGCCCTCAGGGAAGGTCCTGGCAGAGCAGTGGTGTTCTTACTGGACAGCAGGATGCGAACACACAGCCATGGCAATTCTGATCTCATTGCACTAACTGCTAGACAGCCTAGTGAAGCCACCACTAAGCCCCTCAGTGCCCCAAGCACAGTGCTTAGTGTGTCTTGGTCTACATCCTGGGCAGACACACACCCACAGCTCAGTGGCTTTGTTGGCAGGCAGGGCTGCAACATTCTCTCTTAAAATCACACCCCGGAGTGCAGCCTGGGTGGAAAGGGTGCATTTTGGTTCTTTGGTTCAGAGCAGGGCAGAGAGAGGCTGTGATGGTGCCCCGGTGTCCCTGGCTGTCAGAGCCCCGCTTAGGAGCCACAGTGCAGCTGGCTCAGCGATCCAGTGGGGGACAGAGTGCTCAAGGGGATAGTCATCAAGGAACAAGAGAGTCAAGTGCATCTGAATGCCCTTACACGTCCCAGGGTTTGTTCAGGTGTCCTGAGCCACCACCCTTGTCTGTTTCTCATACACTCTGGGCACCTGAATCCACACACCTCTGAGGATCAGGCACTGGCCTCAGACGTCCACGTCTCCCAAGTCAGTGGACTGGGAAGCATTTCACCACATGGATGAGCTGTTGAGTGCAGAAGCCCCCAATAAAAATAATTTAGATGAAATACACCATCCTATTTATTGCCTCATGTACATTCAAGTGTCTGTCACAAGTTTACATTTCAAATTCTTAACTATTCCTATATTTCTGAGTCTCAGTGTAAATCAAGATAAACAGAATATCAGGGAAAATTATTTTTTAATTTTAGATCTTCCCTTTAGCAAACATATGTCCTTTTCCTGGAGAAAATGAAGAGATTAATTTTCATTGTAGTAACAGAGTCTTGGGGAAGGAGAAAACAGATCTTATGTTGTCAGCTGCTCCTGGAGGTCTGAGGGGCTGCAGCTCACTGTTACTCTTTTATACAAACTTTATATTCATGGCAGATGCTGTTACAAACCCCTAGTGATTTCCAATAAGAAATTGTTAAAAACATTTTATATTAAAGATTCAAACTAAAGGAGGATGTAATGATGAATGTGAAAAATCACACACGGGCTCAACCTGACAGGATGATGTCCACACCACGTGGTCACCAAAGGGGAGAGAGAAACCGTCCCAGACGCATGATGTGGGGCCGCCTAAGTCTGCTCTGAGACAGCATGTGACAACCTGTCCTGTTCACTAGAGGGCGCGGGGCAGGAAGCACGCCCCTTTTTAAAAACACAGGCAGTGCAAGGCACGAACTGGGAAGACAGCACACAGAGCAGGTCCCAGCATGGGAACGCGTGCTCACCTACAAAGGCAGGATCAACAGCATTCTCCCCACCTAAAGCTGTCTGACCTCCAGACTCTACACCCAGAAGGGACAAAGTCCCTGTGACCCACTGACAGCTTTCGGGGCCGCAACCCCACATGCTCTTGCAGGGACAAGACACCTGTGGATGCAGACATGGGCTCAAACCTGCTCACTTCACAGCCAAAGGCTGCCCCCACCCCGGCCCTGGGCCTGGGCCCAGCCAGAACCTTCCCCTCAGTGGTACTCAGACAGCAAACAGCTACGACCAAAAGTGAGGCAAGTCTGACACCCATGGGAGGCTGAGTTAGGGCCCCATGTGACCCAGCAGGCAGACAGGCAACACCCTGATGTGACAAGGGCATGTCTGACACCATCAAACTTCTGACACTTGCTGGGGTCCCAAAAGCCACTTGCCAAAGAAGGTGTCAAAAACAAGCCCTTCCCACAAGGAGGGCTTCCCTGGAGAGGACAGTGATAGACGAAGTTCACTGTCACCATTGAGGGATGTGGAGGCACAACATGGCTCATGAGGCCCCTGAGACCTCCTGGACGCGCAGCCTTGCGGCTGACCCTGAGCCATCGGGCAAAGGGGCTGGCACAGAGCCACAGTGAGTGGACGACATGCATTCTACATTAAGAGGGGGTGAGCACAGAGCAGGATGGGCTGGAGATGCCCTGCACAGCTGCGCAGCCCTCGGGGACAGCACGGTATCACCACCCGGGCCTACCCTGGATGTGCACCCCAGACACGAATACCAGAGAGACCTAGAGCCCAAGGCTCCGGCCCCAGCAGCTCTGAAGCCTGTCTCTACCTCACCCCTTGGCTTTCCCCTTCCAAAAGTTCCAGCAGCCTCAGCCTCGGAGAGGAGCAACTAACGCGGAAGTCGGTTCTGGTTTTCGTTAGGGGTTTTAATGATGCTCCCAGCACTGTAGATGCACTGACGTCAAGCTAGGGGAGGACCACCAGACACCCTCTGCAAACTCAGCCCTGCTGGGCCGGCCCAGGCTGCCACTCAGAGGGGCTGCTCTTGCCAGGCAGGGGTACTTACACGCTGCTGTCGGTGAGGGACAGGCTATCAGCATCGCTGGACAGGCTCTGCTGCTCACTGTCGTTGGCGCTGGTGGCTGGGGCGAGTGCATAGCCAGAGCTGACGTAGTAGGGGTTGATGGGCTCCCGCCAGGATCCATACCTGTGAACAAGGAGGGCACGTCAGCAGCTGCCGGACAACATCCTCTCAAATTAATCCAGAATCACCTGATATCCTAATACCTGAACTAAAAATGCAAACAATTCAGAAAAGAGAGCAGAAAGGGCAGGCATCTCCACCCCGCCTCTAGCCCCACCATTCTTCCCAGAGAGGTCAGCATCTTCCACATCTCTCCTGCGTCCAGGCAGACGTGGAAGTGGACACACAGTGTTACCTGGGGTTGTTTTTAATGCATGAAACTGCATACGGGCCACAGCTGTTCTGCTCTCCCTGCTTCCACAGAGCAGAGCCTGCAGACTCGTGCACGAGCCACAAAGCCAGCCCGCCCTCCCCACCACCTCATGGGGTTCTCACAAGAGCCAGGACCCCTTCACAAGGGTCCTGAAGCTGCCCAGGACTCTCGCACACAAGTCTGAGAACTGCCCCAGGATAGACATGGGGGACGGTGGGTGAGGGGGCCCCGCGGGCTTAACAATGGCTGTCACGCTGTCCTCTGGCCACTTCCTCCCAAAAGTAGTGACCATCCAGCACTCCATGTCTGGGACCACCACCACTCGTCATGTGCCGAACCAGAAATCAACCCTTGGTTTTAGTTTGCATTTCCCTGGTTGATGGTCAGGCTGGCCAGTCTGGGGTGTCACTTAAATTTCTTCCCCTTTATTTTATTATTTATTTTAATGGCGGCACTGGGGATTGAACCCAGGACTTCATGTATGCTTAAGCACACGCTCTACCACTGAGGTATACCCTCCCCTGCAAGTTCTTCCTCTTTAAACTATCTGTTCATACCTTCTGTCCATTTTCTATTGGGCTGTTTATGAGTATCTTAATGATTTACAGGCGCCTTTTAAATATTCTATTAACTTCTCATTACATACGTGAAAATATTTTCTCTCTAAATGTCACTTTTTAACTATTTACATTGAGTTTGGTATTACAAAACTTTTTTTATTTCTACAAAATCAGATTTACCAATCTTTTCCTTTACACATTTTCTTTGTATCTTACATAGGCCAGCCTTCCTCATTATAAATATATTATTAAAGATTATAAATATATTATTCTATTTTTCCTGAAATGCTTCAATAGCTTTTTTAATTTAATTTTTACCTGAAATACGTGTTTGTAAAATCTACCTACTCCCTCACATCAAAATGGAGAGCCAGCTTTCAGCACTACATACTGAATAATCTACCTTGTTCTGAATGCTTTCAGATGCCATCCTTCCTCACATCTGACTCCCCTCACACACGCACCCACTCCTGGAGCCTAGGCTGTGCTGCTGCGTGCTTGCTATCCCCACACTGCCTCTTCCCCCCTCCCACCGAAGCCTCCCTTGGGAACAATATCGGTCAGTCTCCACAGCTCACAGTGAAGGTGGGAAATGACTGAGAGGTCTCTGAAGGCTATGACACGCAGGGGGCCCACCGAGCCTGGGTGGGTGCCCCCCAGCTCCCGCCTCATGTCTGATCACAGCGCTGGTGAACAGCAGCCTGCACTGACTCTGGGGACCCAGGCTGAGTCACCTCGTCCCTTGGACTTGAGTGTCCTTGGAGTGGGAAGAGAAGAAACCAGAATGCTTCCACATCAACGCAGCCCCGTGTGGACACCCACCTCTGGATGAACAGACCCTCTGGAAGGCCCAGTTCATGCTGTGCAAACTCAGGAAAAGGCACTTTAATGAGCAGTCCCAAGCCCTAGGTAATCAGATGCCTGTCACACAGGGGACAGAGCTGGGTTGGAGAGAGGCCAAGCAAGGCCATCTCCCTTGGGGACCTAAGCTTCTGTGCTCCCAAGGCCACAGACACCAACAGTGCAGCCACAGTGCTCCTCCTATTCCACCGAGGCAACGGCAGTGGATGGTGATGTGGCTCATGACTCACCCACCAGCTCAGGATCAGGTGCTTGTCACCTCATGCCACCAGGGGTGGGGGGGTTTAGTCACTCAGTCACCAGGGTCTTTCTAACCAACCCACTGCAGCCTGAGGGCATCCTTGGAGACCACTAATGTGTTCTGGGCAAATGAGGGCAGCGGCAGGGCTGCAAAGGCTCTCAGGACGCATCACATCTAAAGGCCTTACGGGAAGGGATGGGGATATCTTCACAGACCTGGACAACCCATCCCTAGGTCCCATGCTTATGCTGATGTGGAGCAGACAAAACGATAGAGTCTGCAATGTCACTTTATTTCTAAATGACAGTCATTCCTCTGGTACTTAAAAAGTAAAGCTACCAACAGTGTCACTGTCACAAACACTGTACTGGAACTCTCATCACAGGGAGCTCTAGGTTGTGTCTCAGTTTTCCTGTGACATCACGGCCAACACCCCACACACCCTTGGGCTGCCCTCACCTTCCCCCACGCGGCAAGAACCATATTGAGCAGGACCAAGCCTTCAACTCCAGTGCATCTGAGATGGCCTGCCTTCCTCCCCAACAGGTCCTGGGTGTGTCTTCCATGCGCAGAGAAAGTCCACCTTTATGGCAAAAAGCAGGAAAAACGTGGATCCCCGCCAGGCGGATCTGCAGCTGCCAGGACAGAGCAAATCCCACTTGAGCTCCACACTTAGACACAAAGAGAAGAAAAAGCCAGACAAGACAGCACAGGAAAGAGGAAGGGCTATCAGTCAAGGAAGGGTTCACCTCTTTAAAGTTCTGGCAGTGAAGCTGGCTCTTAGGATGGAGACGGTTCTGCTCAGCCCTGCAGGTGAGCCTTCAATGCCAGCTGACAATAAAGTTCTAGGAAATTCCACAGGGGACACCTGGACGCTCCCTACAAGACAGCTGGGAACCAGAACTGGGAGGGAGTGTGCTCCTTGCATGTGCAGACACGCCCCGCACACAGACAGGCATTTAGGGAAACCTCGAGCTTTGCTGCATCTTTCGAGTCCTCAGAATAAAACCTGACCCCGCATTCTGCCTCCGTGTGGCCTGCTCTCTGGGGTTGCTGTTTGCAGGTCTTGGTTTTCCATCCTTTCACATTTAACCTCCCTAGATCCTTTTACTTTTGTGTGTCCTTTGTAAGCAGCCAGCCTCTTCCAGATCCACCTTGGCCATTTTTCCTTTTAATGGCGTCATTTGGTCCTGCTGCGTCCATTTGTGGTTACTGAGAGAGGACCCTCCATCTCGTCATTTGCTTTCTGTTTGTTGTATCTCTTCTGTTTTCTTTTGTTCTTTCTTACCTTCTTTTGGAATATTTATTTTCCCTGTCCTCCCTCTAATAAAGTAATAACTCTTTTACTGTTCTTTCAGTGGTTCCTGTAAAGATCACAAGAGGTACCCTTCATGCATCAAGTCCAATTAACACGGTCCAAATCAACCCCACTCATCTCCTCCACACCCATGTGCTGCTGGTTTTAATTCTACGTATGTCTCACATACGTAGACATACGTAGAATTTAATTTAATTCTGGATTTAATTCTACGTATGTCTCACACCTCACAAGATATCATCATCATCATCAGTCTTGTTTTATTCCGCCAACGGTCACCTAGAATTACCCACATACTTGCCCTTTCCTTCCTGTAGAGGGCATCTCCACCTGAGAGCACTTTCCTTCTGCCTGAAGAATATCCCTAAATACATCCCTCAGTAAGGGGCTGCTGGTGACAATTTTCTCAGTGTCTATTGGTCTGAAACTTCTTGATTTCCCCTTTATTCTTTAATGGTATTTTCACTGGGTTAGAATTCTGGTGGGTAATCATTTTCTATTTCTTGGGAAACTTGTGTACTTTCAGTGGAAATATAATATGGTACAGTGACCATGGAACACAGTATGGTAGTTCCTAAAAATTAGAATTACCACTGTTCAGCAATTTCACTTCTTGGCATATATTCACAAGAACTCAAAGCAGGATCTTGAAGAGACACTTGTCCACCCAGGCACTTTGAAAATATCACTCATCATCATCGACCTCTCCGCCTTGCTCCTAGGAAGGTGAGGAGGTGCCAGCCTCGCCCACCTGCCCCGCTTCCTAAGGCCAGAGTGCCACATCACTCCCACGTCTGGGATGCACAGGGGCTCTGTCCTCTGTCCATCCCCCGTTCCTTACTAAATCCCAACGTGCCACAGACCAGCAGCTGGCAGCTCAACACTGACACACACACATCTTCCGAGGGTGGGTGGGTGGGAAGGATCCCCTTCCTCCCAGGCTGGCCTCAGCTCCTGGAGCCCAAGGGCCAGCCACTTTCCAGCTTGCCTCCCTGGGCTCCCTTCTCCTCACCTGGGCTGCCACTCCTTCCTGTTTGGTTAGCTCTCCAAAGGCTTCAGTCCGGTTAAAAAAAAAAAAAAATTTCCCAGCGTTTCTGGCCATTTTCAGCAGGAGGCTTGCCTGAACTGCCTGTTGTCCAAATGTGATTCCTTCATTTAAAATGAGACCTCCTATCTCCTGGAAACCCTCTGGATGAAAGATGACGCCTAACTTGCATGGCTCCCAGGCGGAATGTCATCAGACCTCTCCGCCCGCCCCACCACCTGCAGCCTGACCAACACACTCTCACCCACAGAGCAGCCCCACAGAGCCTGGCAGGCGAGGCCTCCCAGAAGCACTTCATCTCCTGTCGAGCATCCTTGAGCAAGAGTCTTGTGACTTTTTACTCAGAAATTCAGGCACAAACTGCATTATGCTTCACATTATCCTCTTGTTTGTTGTGGCACAAAAATAATGCCTTAAGTGGCTTACCAAGAAGTTCGCTCAGCATTCTAGAAACAAGCTCAACTTCCTGCCCTGCAGTGACCGCACGCAGCATCTGAGCAGCAAGGCTCCCGTTCCCTGGAGGAGACAGTCCCTGTGCTGTCACTTTCATGGCAGTTGGTTGGGAATGTCAGGGACCAGACACCTCTCTCCCTAGACTATCTTTCCTAAGCAAGTTGGGAGGTTTCTGAAGAGCACGTAAGATGCAGTTCTGTGTTTGTCTTTTTTAATGTTTTAATCTGGCCAAATAAAACTGCAGTCACCTCAGGCATCTCTTAAAATTATAT